CCACATTTTGTCTGCAAAATATTTCAGGATCACTTCCACCAATGGACTAGACTTACTCGAACCATACACCCTTGTGCAAATTAATTGAAACAAAAAGAAATATTGCCATTATTATTTCATTTAAAAAAAAATATTTTTCCAACGAAATATGAACCAGTGCAAATGCTAGTACTCCGTATGTCCATTCCACAAAGTCGTTACTTGTAAATTGACTACAAAAACTCGATTGGATTTAAATCAGGAGAGTTTCCGGGTCAGTCTATAGTACTTTGATTTGTTCACTGACAAGGCTTGTCATTGTTTTTGTGCAGCGTTACAATTTTCGTAAGCTTCATTGGAGTAACGTCCATCGCAGAAAATGGCCGTAGGACAACTAATCGACAGTCTAGACAATCATGTCTGGGCGTGATGAAAGCCTGATGCAATCACAGATGAAAATCTGATGCAATCACAGATAACGGAATATATTTCAAGGCCAAACAAATTCCATCATCAGATTCATATTACTGCAAATGACCGAATCAGAGGAAAAAATAGAAATCGATTGCACCCTGTCAGTGGGTCTAAAACTAACCGAGTGGTGAAAGAAAGGAAACTAAAGCGATTGTTTCAATTAATTTGCACAAGGGGGGAAAAAGTTCCAAAGAGGGGTTGCTATAGTGGCACAGCGAGGAAAGAAAGCTCAATAACATATTAACTGTATAGGAAGCAATTAAAGCATTATTTTCTTGTTTACGTAAGTTTTAATTATACCTTGCTTATAATTTGGAACAGTTATAATTTAATTAAATTACGTAGAATCTGTGTATTTTCGTGGAACTTTAAACTTTTTACAAGGTATGCGCATAAAACTCTTGCCATCATTCTGTGAAATTTTCGTTAAATTCCTGCCAATTTTTGGACAAATTGAAAAATTGTAACCTCGCTAATAATTCGATACAGTTTTTTGTATATATATATATATATATATATATATATATATATATATATGTGTGTGTGTGTGTGTGTGTGTGTGTGTGTGTGTGTGTGTAATTTTTTTGTATGTTTCCAATGAAACATGACCCAGTACACATACTAGTACTTCGTATATCCATTCCACGAAATCGTTACTTGTATATTGAATACAGATACTCGACTGGATTTAAATCAAGATAGTTTCCAATCCAGTCGATAGTACTTTGATTTGCTCACTGGTAAGATCGTCTAGTGTTTTCGTTTAGCGTTACAATTTTCGTACGCTTCCTTGGAGTAAAGACCATCGCAGACAATGGACAACTAATCGACAGTCGAGATAATAGTGTCTGGACGTGATAAAAATCTGATGCAATCACGGATGACACAATATTTTACAACGCCAAATGTCAGCATACACACCGAAAATAGATTCATATTACTGCACACCAACTGCAAATGACCTAATCTGAAGATAGATTAGAAATTGATTAAACCCTGTCACTCCGGTGGGTCTAAAATTGACCGTATGGTGAAAGAAAGTAAACTAAAGCAATTTTTTAAGTTAATTTACACAAGGGTGTTTCATCACAAGATGGACCCTCAATGGTTGTGATAGTTTTTACAGTCCTCATTAAAAGTAGACTCTGTTTTCTAGGCTTTTCTTGAAACATCATTGCTAGGGACCTTGCTGTGTTTTCAACTGAATCGACACAAACCAAACGGCGAGATTCCACTTAGTTTTAGATGAATGAGGAGCACATACGTCAGTGGACTAGTGGTACTCGAACCTTACTTAAGTTTGGCATTCCGATAATTTGGCAAGGGCCACAAAGTCATATCGACAACTGTTAATTTTGCTTAACTGATATTACTGTCCTCAACAACAAGAAATAAAATTCCTCCTTTCATTTCAGCTATCAGACATGATGAAATCCAGATTGCTGACTTAAAATGATTTACGTCCTTTGGCATTGAAGAATAGGACCATAATGTTGTGAATTAATTTGCATAATGGTTTAGTGTTACGGTTTTTTTGGGTATATACTGTATGTGACTAGTGAGCGAGTCAAAATGACTTATTTCCCTTTATAGTCGACCAATAGAAGGTTGACCAATCAGAAGCCGCACAACACTGTATTCGTCGTGTATAAAGGCGGCCATCTTTGTTTCTCCTATCAACCTGAACAGAGGCAACTTGTCCGGCGAACAGGACAGACGGAAGAACTACGCCCTGCTACCTTGCTACGATATCCACTGCGAACCTGCACTACGATTTTCTACTGTCTCCGAAATATTCACTGCCAACTTCTGGATTCTATACTCGAAGACGACCATCATGAAAATGTCTAACATTTAGTGCCAAAATCAAGTTAATTTTTTTTCTCTTTAAAATCATCATAATTGATTGGTATATAAAGTTTTCAATCCTAAAAACTGTTTTGAGACTATATAGAATAAACTAATTGGCATCTAAAAAAAAAAGTTAATTCATTTCTCTTCAGGATTACAAGGGTTGATTGGTTTTAAAGAATTCAACAAGGCAACACAGTCACTAGTTAATAACCCCCTCATCGACCACCAGATTAGACTACTTCTTTCCAGTATAACTAATCCCGACGGGACACCTGCAATGGTTAGCGAGCTTGTCTCGCGAGAACCATTACGACTAAGTAGTGAGTTCAATCCTCACTGGATACCACATAATTTCGGCCTTGTGCCACATCTAAGCTACACTTGGATGATCACTATAAGTAATCACGTTGATGAACACACAGACAACAACATAAAACAAGTTTCACACCAGATACAATAAAGAAATTAATATAAAAAAGAAGTCAATTTATTTCTCTCCAAAATTTAGATGAGTGAGGAGCACTTACGCCAATGGACCAGGGTTACACGAACCATACTTCAGGTTGGCATTCCGATAATTTGGCACGGGCTACAAAGTCACATCGACGACTGTTGCATAACGGACATTGGCGGCCTCAACAACAAGAAACCAAATTTCTTGTTTCATTTCTGCTATTAGACATGAGGAAATCCTGATTCCTGACATTCCGTCCATTGGCATTGAAGAATAGGTCCATGGGAATGTTTTCGTCGATATGGGTAAGAGAAACAATTACAATAGCAATGATTTTGAGGGATTATAACTTGAACTGATACTGTTTGATCAAGAGTTAAGTGGCTTAATCAAAGATTTGTTTATCAAAAGAAACGCTAAAGCATTTATTTTCATGACTGAAGAATAACAATCACTTTAAGGAAGTAACAAAGACTATATTTTATCGCAATTTAGATGTTGATTTTGTCACCTAATTCAATCAAACCAACGAACTTGTATATTGTAACACTGTCGAAGGTCTTTTTTTGTATTTTTGGTATACAGAACAATGATGTAATTTAATGCAGACTATATATTAGTAGCTCATAGCATAGTAAAAATTGTTTTATTGCACAACACCAGTGTATATACATATCAATACTAATTGGGTACTCTACAACACTGAAACAAAAGCATAAACCCGTCAAGGACGAAATAGAAAGAATAAATTACTTTCATTATAACGTGGTGATTTGTGTTGCCTGAAAATGGTTAACAGTTTTAGTTGGTTAGCAATCAACCGAGAGGAATTTCATTTATTTATGAATCTGAAATTAAATTGGAATAGAAGAGAACAGAAGTGTGAACTGGTCCGCTAGTCCTCAGAGACAATATCATCTTCCTGCTTCTCAATATCAAATCAGGACACATGAAGTAGTTTTTGAGAGCGCTTGACAAGGAAGGCCAATGTTTTCAGTAGAGCATAGAAACAAGGAATTTTTGATGAGCCTGACATTCGAAACTCATCAAGGACAACAACTTCGTCAAATCTATGAATGTTACTGAAACAAATGCCTGGATTTCATTTGATACAGTAATAAAAATAGTTCTTGTTAATCGCAAGAGAGACGACTATAGGGAACTAGTCGACAGGGTGTCAGCAAAGTACCGGGAGATTAGTGATAATCAAACTGCATTACTTGTATAGTTATTTTGACAGGTTTCCAGAAAACTGTAGCTAAAAACGTGATGATCAAGGGGAATGATATATATCAAGAGAGACATGATGAAAGAATATTGGCAGATTACTAATGAAGCCTGAAGAGAGACAAAGTTGGATAATTTGAAGAAAGTAAAAAAAAGCAAAAAATTTACTATAATTGTTAATTTTTTCTGTACTTTCCGTCTTACCTTATAGTTGAAATTTTATTTGATTTGCATTTAAAATTGCATAGCTGTTATTTTTTGCTTTTCACATAAATGACTTAAAATGGCCGATTTTGTCCGAGTCTAAGAAACCTATCCAAGTGTTATTTACTGCGTGTGATTCCATTTCGTTGCGTTGTGAGTGAAGTCATGGTTACAACGGAAATCAATTTGAAAGCATTCGATTAAAAACTCCCCAGATCATGCATTTATAATAAATACTGTATTCATATACATGATTTAAATTAAATAGATTTTGTTCAAGTTGCTTTAAAAGTTTCAAAATGTGTATACGTTTTAGACACCATGTCTCTCTCTCTCTCTCTCTCTCTCTCTCTCTCTATATATATATATATATATATATATATATATATATATATATATATATACAAACACACATATATATATATATATATATATATATATATATATATATATATATATATATATATATATATATATATATATATATAATAAAAAAACTTAAACACCAATATTACATGGTCATATTAGTGTTTAAGCCTTTTGTATTATATCCTTACTCTGTCCTGGACATTGAGTTCTACCTGGATTCAGTCCTCTTGGAATTATTTTTTATACATATATATATATGTATGTGTATGCATCTATGTATATATATTTATATATTTTGCATATGTATGTGTATATTTACCACTAATATTATCTATCTATCTATCTATGTCTCTATCTATCTATGTCTCTATCTATCTATCTATCTATCTATCTATCTATCTATCTATCTATCTATCTATATACAGTATGGCAAGAATGTCGCTATAGAGTTATATATAATAAAAAAAAACAAAGCATTGAAGCAGGTTGCTTGCAGTTTGGACAATATCAGTAATTAATTTACTCTTGTTTACAATAGGATTTTATTGTTATTAACCATAACCATTTTAATAATAAATTGTTGATTAATGTCTTTATTTTAATTTTATATATATATATATATATATATATATATATATATATGAAGAAATATAGTTTTAAGGCGTGGTATATATATGGGATAAAGTGCTCAATATCAGAGATAGAGCATATGTAAATATAAATATAAAAGTGAACATAGAAGTCAACACTCAGAGGCGACAGGCTATTTCATGCTGGACGCCATATATATATATATATATATATATATATATATATATATATGAAGAAATATAGTTTTAAGGCGTGGTATATATATGGGATAAAGTGCTCAATATCAGAGATAGAGCATATGTAAATATAAATATAAAAGTGAACATAGAAGTCAACACTCAGAGGTGACAGGCTGTTTCATGCTAGATGCATAAATAATTGTTATAAAATCATATAGCTAGCTAGCTAACTAGATAGGTAGGTATACAGGTTTTTTGCTAGGCCTGCTAGGCAATCCCTGCCGAATACACCAGCTCAGACATATGACTTTGTTCAAGGCCCACAAAAAGAACCTGTGGTTTATACTGCATCTGAGCATACCTAAGAGTTGCTGTGAGATAGCGCATATTATGTCATGTTCAGCAGTTTGAACAAGGCAATACACTCAAATCCTCACTCACGATGACTTGTGAATTTGTGCCAGCCAAACAATCGATGACTACAGAATATTACGGTCTAGGCAATTTAACTCACACAGATTTGGTCAATCCGTGGTACCAAAGACACTTCACGCTGGATCTACTATAAAGAAATTACCTGCGCAACAGATCAAACATGGCGAGATTCGAACCTGGGTCTCATGTTTGGAAAAGAGAACCTTCTACTCATTTGGCCATACATACATACATACATACATACACACACACACACACACAGACACACACACACACACACACACACACACATATATATATATATATATATATATATATATATATATGTTATAAAATCACTACAACAATAGCCATTTTGTTTCAACACCCTCGGTGTCTTATCAAGTGATTCATTCCGTATACACCAATTATATACTTGGGTATGTATATACATATATATATATATATATATATATATATATATATATATATAGACACACAAAGTGGAAAAAGATATATTATATATGCAAACACACAGACATATATATATATATATATATATATATATATATATATATATATATATATATATATATACACACACACACACACATATATATATGTGTGTGTGTGTGTGTGTGTGATATGACAACTTTTATCGACCTCCATTATAAACTATCGAAATTCGCCGCACATGACGCAACAAGAAGCTTCCGGAATGACGGATGGGCTGAGTATAGCCTCTGGCCCCGGCAAGACATTATTTCCTCCTCTCTGGATCGATGACAAAGAACGGCTGTTTTACGTGTGGCGATTTCACCGACGCCATGCTTTCCCGGGCCGCATACACAAATCTCGGCTGAAAGAAGCGAAGCAAGACGTGCGCGGGTTTAGCGAGTTAGAATCCTTTTCAAAAGATGACGAAAGAAAAAAAAATAAAGGAATCGGTTGCTTATCTAACAATATCGACTTATCCTAACTAAGTCTTGCACAAGGCCAATAGTAATGGGCGCTTCATGATAATTCAGCTATTCATAAATATAATATTCCCCTCCCATTTGCTGGATCCCGCCAGGATGTAGGCGATTGTGGATATCCACAACTTCTTATCTTTATTAATTCTTAGTAAGTTTCGTCTATTTTAACATTATTTTATCCTATATTTACCAAAGATCTTTATGCAGTTTTCACACTGCTTTCTTATAGCCCACACGCCATAAATATACCATTCAACATATTACCTATATTGTGACCTACATATTTACTATGTCTCTTTCTTATTGCACATCCATGACCCAATTAATTAAAACAAAACGAAGAATTCTTAATTAATCTACACTTTTTCTTTCGCATTTTTCCAATGGCACACATTAGTCCATTCCACAAAGTTGTTCCTTGCAGAATGGCCACAAAGTCTGGATTGGTTTCAAATCAGGATATTTTCCAGGCCAGTCTATAGAACTTGGATTTGCTCACTGGTAAGACAGTGTGTTATCATATTCGTACGCTTCCTTGGAGTAGCGTCAATCGTAGTCCTTTTTATATACATACCATTTGTTTTAAGCCGTAAATTTAGATTTTTTAAGAATGGACTCAACAAAGGTTGTCGTTGTAAAGTATTTGACGGGTCCGTATAGCTGATAATATTGTTCAAATTAATTGACATAAAACGAATAATTCCGTAATTATTTACTTTTTTTTCGTATTTTTCCAATGAAACATGACCCAGTGCATATGTTAGTACTTCGTATGTCCATTCCAGGAAGTCGTTCCTTGCAGATTGATCACAGATTCTCGAATGGATTTAAATCAGGAGAGTCTCCATGCTAGTCTAGTACTTTGATTTACTCACTGGTAAGGCTTGCCAGTGTATTCGTACAGCGTTACAATTTTCTTTCGCTTCCTTGGAGTAACGTCCATCACGGACAATGGCTGTAGGACAAATAATCGACAGTCGAGACAGTAGTGTCCGGGTGTGATAAAAAATTGATGTAATCACGGATGACGCAATATTTTTTCAAGGCCAAACAAATTTCATCACACACCCCGAAAATAGATTCATATTAATGCACACCACAGCAAATGACCTAATCTGAGGAAAAATAGAAATCGATTACACCCTGTCACTCCGGTGGGTCTAAAACTGACCGTATGGTGAAAGAAAGGAAAATAAAGCGGTTGTTTCAATTAATTTGCACTAGGGTGTATGTCACAAGATTCAATATTCAGCGAGTTAATTTATGGGTTTTATATGAATTCGACCTGTAAATATATTTATTGTTCGAAGGATCATGAAACATCTGATGAATGCCGGAAGGCACATATGTCGAAACGTTGTGACAACAACAACAAAGATGAGGTTCGCGTGCAAATTTTTATTACCGTGGTACCGTTTATGCGGTCATGTAAGGAATGACATATTTTTCACTATACAGCCTCTTTCCCTACAAACAGAAACCTTGTAAGCCTTTCGCCAACCTATCGCTATTTCCATGGCAAAAGCTTCACTCTGGTTCCACTAATTCAGTGATTTATAGCTAGGACTAGCCATGTCTACGGAGAAAAACCATCTACATATCCTTCGTATTCCACATGTGATGTGAATGTTCTACCCAGAGAGCTTTTTCCGAAGAATTGCTACTTCGTCGAATAAACACTTACACTTCACCAAAAACTAAAATCATAACCTCTTCAGCATAATCACTATATATCCTCCTTATCCTCATAATTCTCCTTTCTTCTACCTATTCTTACAATCATATTCTTCTTCTTTTATATGCCGTGTCCCTTCAGGACGTAGGAGATCATGGCTCTCCACTTCATCTATCCCTGTAGCTCTCAATATGTTTTGTCCTTTTGCTACTTCTCCCAGGCCATGTTCTGTCATCCACTTGCTTAAGCCCGTTAAGCCTGTCACGCTTTGCTTTCCCTTGTCTCTCTTTCCCATTATTCGTCCTGTGAGTATCGGATTCTCCAAGCCCTCCTTTTTCATTACGTGTCTCAGAAATTTCAGCTGCCTCTTCCTGATGTTAAGTATAAGATTCCTCCTTGTTTGCATCCTCTCTAAAATCTCATCGTTGCTCACACGCTCGATCTATGATATCCTTAGCATCCTTCTGTAGAACCAAACCTCCGTTGCCTCATCTTCATTTTTGAGGAGACCGTCCAACATTCGCGGTCGTAAAGGAGGACAGATGTCATGTAGCAGTTCAGTACTCTTTTCTTTGTTACCAACGAAATCCTCCTGTATCGTCATACTCTGACTGGCTTTTGGAATGCGTCTTTTGGCCATCCCAATACGTCTTCGGGCCTCAACGTCGCACTTACCGTCCTCTGTCAGAACACTTCCTAGATATTTAAATTTCCGCACCTGTTTGATTTTAGTGTCCCCGACCAGTAAATTGCATTTCGGGCCCATCTTGTTTTTGTAGTTTATGCTTAGTCCCTTCTTCTAGCTCTCCTTCGCTACCTTCTGTAAGAGATTTTGTTATTTCTTTTCCGTGTCTGCAATCAGCGTCGTGTCATCTCCATATCTTATGTTGTTAAGATTGTGGCCGCCAATCAGGACCCCGGTAGGATTCGCAATTCTCCCAGAACTGCCTCGCTGTATAGGTTGAATAAGTCCGGTGAGAAGACACATCCTTGCCTTACGCACTTTCTATTTTATATTCTTGTCTTGTTAAGATTGTGGCCACCAATGATAATTGTCTCTCAGAATAGGTTGAATAAGTCCGGTGAGAAGACGCATCCTTGCCTTACGCCTTTTCTCTTTTATATTCTTATGTTGTTAAGATTGTAGCCGCCAATAATGACTGTGTCGCTGTATACGTTGAATAAGTCCGGTGAGAAGGCATAGCTTTGTCTTACGCCCCTACACAACACTTTCATTAACACTCTACCACGAGTGTCTCTTGCGCCTTTTATGAGATGATATTTAGGATAAAGTAAGTGGTTTTTATTATGTATTTTTCCCAAATACTGACAAACAGCCTGCTTAGAAAATCTTCATGTGAAATGCGGGTTTTATATGAATTCTACATTTAAATGCAGGAACTTTTGAGAATAGCTTTCATACTCTCTATAGAGTCTTGTCTGGTACTGGGATAGTCGTCCAGGTAGGAGAAATGGCTTATGAGATGAGCATCGAACTCCTATTTCATGGCAAGGCGCCAATATAAACCTAATTAGGTAGCAGCACAAACTGCGATTCAAAGAGAATGCTACAATCTTATTAGATTCAGGGAAGGTGTGCTTGCTAACAAAAACAACATTCGAAAAATGACATTTAATTGGGTTCGACCATCAACAAGTATCACTCGTTTTAATTGCATAATTATATCAGTGATATAGTTGGATCAAATTCTATCTATCTATGTCTGTTCATATCTATCTATCTATCTATCTATCTATCTATCTATCTATCTATCTATCTATGTCTGTTCATATCTATCTAACTATGCCTGTTCATATCTATCTATCTGCCTATCTTGATTTCTTCATGTGTTTGTAATTATCTCAGAATTCATTATTTATTTATGACGGTCTATCTATCTATCTATCTATCTATCTATCTATCTATGTCTGTTCATATCTATCTATCTCGGTTTGTTCATATCTATCTATCTATACACACAAACACACACACGCGCGTACACACAGATACATATATATATACTATAAATTAACTAATTTAACATATGGTTTTTTCGCTACACAATAATAAACATGTTTCAAAAATGGAAGCTAAAAACTTCAAATTTAACTATATAATTAAGCATTAGTTCCGTTTCATCTTCAAGCGAATATTGGAATAACTTATTTTTTTTAAGTTTACTGAGTTTTAGACGCACATATAAATTCATAATTCCCTGTTTCCAAGGCTACAGAGAAATTCAATCATTTAGACAGAGGCGGTACCGTGTTCATTTTTATTAACTATTGTTGTATCAATTATGAGTTACATTCGAAAAAGAGGTTAAGTTTAAGGAGGGTAGGGGTGTATTTTTCAACGAATTCTGATATCCGTTAAATGCATGTCGTCTGGGTTTTTTTTATATTGACAACAAAAAAATTTTCGGCATTTTTTCTTACATGTATATTTAAAGACTCTTTTTTTTTTACATTTTATTTAACTACAATTTTAAAATAATTTTCTCTTAATTACTAATAGACTATATTTCTTTTTAAAAACAAGTAAATGTAATAGAATTACTTACATTATTTAGAATTATTATTTTTTTTATTAAATATACGTATGTATATTACTAGCTCCCATTTTTTAATTTTATTTTTAAATATTTAAGGAAAATTTTTGACAATGACGTCAAAAATAGCTATTTCATTTCTCTGATTCAGTAATTTTTTATTTTTTATAAACTTAGTAATATACAGTTTCTCATGTATGCACAAAATACATGGGTCATTTAATGACCTACATATTCTAGCTTTTCTTATTTTGGTACCATTGCAATATCTCATGTATTGAGTTTCCCGAAAACATAAAAATCTATATAGGTTGCACACGCCATGAGTTCAAAAAGCGGTTCAGTCAACACCAAACTTCATTTAGGATAAATAAATATAGAAATCAGACATCCCTTTCAAAGTATTTCTGGCACTTAAAAGAATAAAATAAAACACCTAGAGTAAAATGGAAATTAATAAGATGAAAGTGAGAGTGGCTTAATGGTTCAAAATAGTGTCAAATATTAGATAAAGGGCTACTCCCACTATTTGAAACCAATCAGATTGACAAGAATGCCTACAGTTTTCAAGAACATTGAGCGCCATGTTATTCGAGCAAAGGCCTGGAATGAATCTTAAGGAATCAAGTCACTGCCATGGGTTGCCTAAATTCCTGATATAATCCAATAGAGAACGTTTGGGAGCACCTTGACCGAAGACTTCGAGAGCGTGCAACCAAAATCACGTCAGTGGCAGCCCTTAAAGATACATTGCTAAAGAAGTGACAAAATATGGCTCAGACTATTGTTGATAACTTGATCAAATCCATGAAACTAGCAAATGGAGGACCTATTCTATACGTGTTCCACATACTGCTTATTTATGTTGAATAGGGATTACGTAATTAAATTTTGAATTTGGATGTAGTTCATTTCTCCTGGCTAAAAACTTTTCTTAGGCCACTGCATGTGCAGTAGATTCTCAGGCTTCACTTTCCAGTATTGATAGTCGAAAGCGTCTCCGCGTCCTTGTGGGTGACAAATTATCCTCCAGCCTACAACCCCTTCTACTGAAAGTGTTCAGACGAACAACATTTCTTAATTTCACCAGTTCTAACCTTCTCTGCTGAGATGAACCATGCCACATCCATTGTAGAGAACCACCCTCATTCACTTCGTATTGCGTTGGTGAGATGTAAGATACACTGGGACGGATTCTTTTACGTAATTCTTTGCGAAATTCTTATGCTTTCCCATAACGAAAAACTTAACCTGCTCAAGTCTAGGATAAACCGTTATCTTCCCCACATATCCCCATACACTGTGCCTCTGAAACTGGAACTCTCTACCTTGAGTGGCTTTCGGGACTTGTACAGGGTGAACATTATTACCAAAAAAAAAATCTATCTATCTCGATGTATTCATATCTATCTCAGTCTGTTCGTATATATCTGTTTCTCTCTCTCTCTCTTTCTCTACACACATATATATATATATATATATATATATATATATATATATATATATATATATATATAATCTTTTTATATATATATATAATCTTTTATATATATATATATAATCTTTATATATATATATATATATATATATATATATATATATATATATATATCACGTGTAGAATTGAAAAACATTCATTCGCCATTTTTTCTTTGTTTTCTTCCAAGGCAAACATTATATCTACGTATTTATCTATTTGGATATCGATAGACACATCGATCGATAAATATGTTTATTGCTCACACTACTAACGACATCTCAATCTAGTCATATCTATCTATCTATCTATATACACACATATATGTGTGTGTCTTTGTGCGTGCGTGTGTATGTCTCTCTCTCTCTCTCTCTCTCTCTCTCTATATATATATATATATATATATATATATATATATATATATGTTAGCAACTTTAATGATTTTTGCGAGCTGATAATTAATATTCGATCCGAGTAAAAAAAAAAAACATAAATAAATAAGTAAAAGTGAGACAAGCGAACATTTTTATACTTCAAAATCACTACCACCCGGATTTTTCTACCTGCTCTTGTTAAATATCGTAAATACATACATATATATATATATATATATATATATATATATATATATATATATATATATATATATATATGGTTGTTTGTGTGCATGCGTGTACCTGACAGAAAAAGGGAGGATCCATCCTTGGCAAGCGAGCGCTAAGTGATTGACATTTTATCGATTGAAAATCAGGATTACACCTTGAGGAATATCGCCAAGAGCAATTAAAGACAAAACGCATTAGTTTCCTCAATCTTCAAGATGGCGGAACACAGACACCAAGAATTTGTCGTTCGCATTAACAAAAGAGTGAAGGTGGGCGGGACCGTTGATGATATTAAAGAATTAAGCCCTGGAATAAGGAGACTGAAAGAAGAATCTGTTGCCCCGAGGGAAGGTCGTGGCCTTTGTGATTACCACTGTTAAACATGCTCGAAGGAAAGAAAGTGACAATTACGAAATGGAATTGTTCCATGGGGTACTCGTCTTAATTATTTAATACAAAATGTCATTCGGGTTTGTGTGTGAAATGAGTCTATGGGTAATGATATAAGGTAATAGATTTTTCAAACATTTGAAACGATACGATTGAATTACACATACAACTATCAGACCGATGTGTGGGCCTGGTTGATCTAACTCTATCAAGAATCGATACTGGTTAATACTAGTTTAATTTGATATTGTAACATATACCTAGAAATGTTTCAACTGCAGAGAATTGAGTTTAGTTAACATATCTGCATCGGAAATTGATACTGGTTGATTCTAGTTGAATATCATGATTTATGATATAACTAGAAGTGTTGCAATATCTGAGTTTTAACGTAGTTGATATAAGCTTATCAGGAATCGATATTGGTTAATAGTATTTGAATATGATGTGGGAACATACATCCAGAAGTGTTTCATTGACTGATTTTAAGCTTCATGATCTAATCATATCAGGAATCGATATTTGTTAATATTAGTTTAATTTAATATTATGCAATATAGCTAGAAGTGTTTCGAATGCTAAGAATAAAAGGTTTGGTTAACATATGTGTATCATAAATTGATACTTGTTGATTCTAGTTGAATCTGATCATTTACGACATCTAATCTTTGTTTAAATGTCCATGTAACCAATCTGAAGATGGCTCATGCCTCAAAGCTGTTATTCTGTTATGTTGATATAGAAGATTGCTATGCGACAATAACAAGAAAAAGAACCTTCAGATATTGGAGGCAATCTAAATTAAAACAAAGCAATCCACACTCAATAACGTTACACTTCAAACTGGTCAAAACACATTACGTTGCATCTAAAAGTATGGCTCTGTTGTTAATATTTCCTTCTCTCACGTGATATGACGTCATAGAACAGCATCACGAATTTACGATTTGCGTCTGCTATTCAGCAACCGTTATCATCGCATATCTATCTTCTATGTCAACAGAATATCATCTTTGATGGTGAATATCGTTGTTTAAATGACCATATAATCACTCTGAAGATGGCTCATGTGTGCCGAAAGGTTAGATCAATTAACAGCCTAATAAAAATATCCAAATTTTGGACAATTTTTGTCTTTATTTTCTCACGAAATTAACGCAACTATACGAAGTTTAGAACGGCCCATGATCAAACATAAAAGATATTCCTTGTAGGTTATATTTAACAATGTACGTTTGAATAATGATCTGGTGCCCCAATACACTATATATTAGAGTCCATTATTATACATATATATATATATATATATATATATATATATATATATATATATATTTATGGTTTAAAATAGGATATACAATCACAATAATGATTTTATTTTATTTTTGACAATTAGAAACATTCATGAAAGTAGATTTCTTTAGAAATATATGCGATAATGCATTTTGCCATTTATAGCTTCATTAGATCCAAAAGCGAAAGAATAAAATGCGTGCATGTGTATTTGTGTGTATGTTTAAATAAGGAAATCTTAGAACCCTTTTTTTACCTAACGCAGTGTTTCTCGTGACTAAAGAAAAAAAATGAGGGACTTTTAAAAAAAATGACGTTTATATTTATTTTCTTTACTCCCCGTTCCAATCGAATGGTGTTATATATTTTCTAGCTTTTCCCGTTTCAGATTAATGGTAAATCCTCTTCTTATCAGAACGGCTCAAATTTAAGACATTCATATAGCCTTTTCTGAAAATGGATCCAAGGTAAATCCTCATCTAATACTTCATAACGTAGAAAATAAGTAAAAAAAAAATGTTTTTTTTTTGTTTATCCATGCGTTTCTCTGTTAAAATGAGTGACATTTTTAAAAGTCACTCATTTTCGTTCTTCTGTAATGACGAACACACACACACACACACACACACACACACACACACACACACACATATATATATATATATATATATATATATATA